AGAAGCCGAAAGGGCCGCGGATCCTCCGGGGCCGCGGATGCTCCGGGGCTGCGGATGCTCCAGGGATGCGGATGCTCCCCCACCCTCCCGACATCCAGGGGGTTAGTCCCAAGCCCTTGTGCTAGGGGAGGTATAAAGAGAACGACAAAAAACGAGAAGGTTCGTGTCCTACAGTAGCTTGGTTCTTCCTTTCCGAAGGCTGCAGATAAATCAGTGCTCTTTGCCACTGCAGCCGTGTTCCTGGCTGTTTACCTGTGGGGCACGCAGTTTTTTTCCAATATTTGGACCCCATTATTTTTTTTTTCCCTGGTATGTGTTTCTATTCTGCTACAATGTCGTAATCCTACCGACAAGGGGTTTGCCTTTCTTTTGTGGACTCGGGAGACGAGCAGGGACTCCCAGGGAGCAGAGACTGGGAACTCCTCATCTAAGGAGTCACCAGAGGGGCATTCAGCAGGTTACCAGCAGGCAGGCCCCCATCGGCAGGGTGAGCCTGGGGCATCTTCAGGGACCCCCCGGACATATTTTGCAGATCACTTTCTTAGCCTACAATGACTCTCTTCTGTAGATCAACAAAACAAGCCAAGTGTCCCACACCTGGCAGAGAAAGTGAAGAGAAGTTTGAAATGGCACTTCCTTGCTGGTGGCTATGGAACTCAAAGACAGGAAAGCCTGGAGAAACGAAGATGAAATCCTGCAAATAAAGCAGATGAATAGGCCCCACTTTGCCAGCTGAGCAGTTTTATCATGGACTTGCAACTTCAAAAAAAATCTCAGCTCCTGCAGACATGAGAATGTCAGCTTTAATTTTCTGTAAGTGAATTGCTAGAACTTGCGGTTGCTGAGAGGAGTTGGAAAACAACTTCCGAGTGCTGAAAAACCTGGCAAACAAATAAAAATAACATGGCTAATATTTTATTTCAACCTTGTGGTTTTTAAACCAATCTCATTTGTATTCTTCTTTTTTTTGCCTGCGCACATCATTTTTTTGAACTCGGGTCTGGCGATACTGAGATTACTCAGGTGAGTGGTATGAGCAGAGGCCAGGGGCTACTGCCTTGGGGCTGATGAAAGCAAGCAGGCTGCTGTGGCCTGGGCTTGAGCACTGTATAATGGTTTTGTCCCCTCTCCAGTGTGCGCAGAGTTCAGCATATGAGTTCACAAGAGCAACTGCAGCGAAGGTTTCAGTGGCCCATCAAAACTGTAGACCCCAAACCAGAGTGAGTCCGTGTGCTAAGTACAGCACAGGGTAAAAACTACATGTCTCCAAGGCCAAATCAGTTGACTCTTCTCTCAGCCGGTTAAACCCAGTTGTGTTGACCCCTGCCTTGCTGAGATAGCTTGTCACTGGTGCGGTCCCCCCAGAAGCAAAATTTGGAGAGGGTTGCTCTGCTCGCAGAGGAGACCCGGCCAGATGGATTGGTGTGAAGAGCCTCCAGCCCTCCAAAGATTCAAGCGCTGGATCTGGGCCCCTGGAAAAGTCAAAACCTTCAGCACCTGAGAGCACCCACAGTGTCCTGCAACGCATCGAGGGGGCTGCCCTGCCTAGTGAGGGAAGATGGCTGTGGAAGGGGCTGCAGACAAGGAGGGCAGAGAGGAGGACACTGTGTTGCTCTTATCTCCACCGTACCTGCTTGTGGCTATCCGAGGAAGTTGCTTAGAAAATCCCTGGCTGTGACTCTCGGCTCATCTAATCTTCCAAGCACACAAACAGGACAAACCCAAATGCTTTTGTCTTCTTTCCCCTGCTTGCTGAGATCTGAAATCCCTGCAGAAGTTTTTTTAAAGCCATTTCTTCACCGAGTCCTTTCTCTGCCAAGAAGGCAGCAAGAGGTGATCCTCCCCTCCCCTCCCCTGGGAGCCACCAGCCCGGCTCTGCAGCCAGTGGGGTCGGGGTGCTGTGGGGTCAAGGTGCCGGTCTCCCCTGCACGTCTCGGTGGGACAGCCCCCCGACTAGCCCCGAGCTTGCCCCCAACCCCGGACCTCGGGGGGCTGCGTCGGCACAGCCCAACCAGGGAAAATCAGAGCGGTGAGAGACTCTTGTCACAGGAATGAGTCAAAATTTAA